CCCCGCCATGACAGGTGCAAGCCGAGGTCTCATAGCATGTCAGAGAAGGGGGCTTGGGGGGGGCGCCGCATGGCTACAGTCCCCCTTAAGTAGATAGAATATGGGGTATATGGTGCTCTTATTAGAATATACCCAAAACCATATTCTATCTACTTAAGGGGGACTATATTCACACCTAGTGGCAAAGGGCCTGTAGGATTAAGCTTAAGGGTTGGGGTTCAGGGCTTAGGCTGGTGAGTGTGTGGCATATGCGGGAGTGGATTACAGGGACCCTAAACCCTTAAACCCTAAACTCCTAAACCCTAAACCCGAATGGAAGAGTACATAGCGACCACTATGGGGATCCTGTAGTGATCCGTTCCTCCAATCCCTGCGAACCACAAGTAAGCACAGGTGTGTGTATATATATATATATGCAAATATGTTCGAGGGTTCCTGGCGTCAGCATGTGCCGGAACTCTTTGGGATTCCAAAATAAAGAAATCAACGTTAGCATGTCGGAAGGTAGCACGTACCACATTGGACACCCTCGCAATCTCTGACAGCCGAGTTTCAAGGGACTATGTGGATGTCGTTCTCTTTTTTGGGGGGGAGGAGGGGGCTTATTGGGAACGATGTTGAAAGACGTTGGTTTGGAATAGCTTCCATGGCTGGTCAAATGAATACATGCAGCAACGTTCAAAGCTGCAGCGCTTCAGGACAAATGCTCGGGTCAGTTTTTGACTGGAGCTTAGGTCCCGCTGTCGTCTGCTCCAGGCTTTGCTGGAACTTGCGGCTTGGGTTCTAGAACGATCTCCTCCAAGGGGGGCAAGTCCTCGGGCTCCCCAGATGTGGGACTTTGCTGCTGCTTCTCAACTTCTGTCATACCATCCCAGTTGGGCAGGTAGCCCTGAGCCTCCAATTCCTTCAGGTAGGCCTCCACGCGCGGGACGTACTTTGGAGGGACCCCCCGCACGCACATGCAGATGCAAATCCCACAAACCAGCAAGCAAGAGCAGGAGAAGCAGAGCATAATGCTTGCCACCACAATTCCCACTGTACGATGTTCTGGAGATTCCATGGCTACAGAAAAGCTCCAGTGTAGGTCTCAGCTGCAGTTACAGGACTCGGCTGGCACAGCTACCATGGCTCAAGGCATTGGTCCTCATGCGTGCAAATTTCCGGTCAAGGTCAAGTAGACTTGTGCATGCAATTCCTATGCTGGAATCTGTTCACCATGAAGGCTACAGACCTCAGGGCATAGGAAACTCTCAGAAATCCGTTCACATCCTTCAACTTCCGCCGTCTAAGCGAGCCACTGGTGTTGCGGAATTGTCAGCTGAATGCTCATGCACTTCCCCGCATGCCCCAGGTTGGTTTGAAACTCTGCGAGTTTGATCTCATGTCATCGAGCCAGTGGTTCTGTAAATCTGGAAACGATGCCTTGCGAATTGAAAATGTGTAGTCTGCGGCCAAGTGCCGCAGACGCAACAGAAAACTGGCAGCAGCTGCTGTGCTGAAGTGAGCCCCGAATTCAAAGGCTTTACTGGACTCAGTCCCGGAATCTCCTACACTAGAAACCCTTACCAACGAAGCTCCCCTCCAATTCGAGAGTCTGGTCAGAAAGCCGCCTCTCCCACCAGACAGTCTCGAATACAACGGGAAGCGGCCAAACCCGTCATGACCACAGCAACGGCAATACCATCACAAACGATAAAATCAGTGTCATCAGCTGGTGTCTGCATGCGCGGCCCTCCTCTTGAGGCCAGGCTACAGCGTGCCATTCGGCAAAATAAGTGAAGCCAGACGCTTTCATTAACATCTTTGGGCACACAAGGTGTGCACCTGCAGGTAACAAACATTCCCAGAGCCCACGCTCTCAGTCTTGGGCAACCCGCAGGATTTTAGATGTGTCGTAGCCTGGGTTCAACATGTCTGGGCTTGCTGTTGCCTGACAGTTGTCAAACTCTTGCAGGCAAGGACCGAAAGACCTGGCTTTGGCCATAAGCGCGTCGTACGTTGCCTGGGCCAGAGTCTGCTGTTGCATGTTGACACTCTTTTCTGAAGATGTTGCCTTTCTGGGTTGACACATATTGGGTTTATCCTCGCCGCCTCATTAAACAGCTGCCGTGCATTAAAATCTGGCGCCTGGTCCACAGTCGGCGTTCTGGCCATGATCCAGACGTAGGACTTGTCTGGCACTCCGATGATGGTAGTCGAATAGTCCTGGCTAAGCACATGCGACACACTCCGCCAGCTGCATTTTGAGCGCTCCCTGCTTGAACGCCAGTCCTCTGCACAGTCTGCTACGAGGTAGGCAATTCTCAAGGGCAGGAATACACCTTGGCAAAGAAAGCTCTCTTTTCCATGCTGCGGGATGCACGGCGCTTGCACAATCCCGGTTGGGAATGGCTCTAAGAAATTTTGGTAAATGGCCTCAAATTCTCCCCAAACAAATTCCCAATCACAACAATCCTGACAAAATGGGCCCCTAGTTTTTGGGAAGCCCCAATGGAGCCCAACTGTATATTCGCCACCCCTACGCTTTGCAACCACTCTCACCACAGCTCGCCCTTAAAAGGACTGTGACACTGCAGCTATCCAACGTCAGCCAGCATTCCTCTAAAGCTCGTTCATCAAGTTTTCCTATTACATTATAGTAGTTTCCATGTTCTTCTCCATTATCCCTATATAACCCCTATATAACCCCAATAGAATCCCAACATAACCCCCTGTAGAACCTCTCATTTGCTTAGCACCTGGCCAAGCTTGGGCGATATGGCCCACTGAGTGCAAGCCTCGTTCACGACCTGCCAACAGCTGGCCTTTGGTTAGCTGGCAATGAAGGAAAGGAAAAGAAAATGGAAACTACTATCAGGTTTAGGGCTTAGCGTTTAAAAGGAACGGAAGAAAGTGGAAACTACCATAATGGGTTGTATAGAGCCTGCTCTTAGCATCCCATTCCTTCATTCCTAACTGAACACCAGAAAAGTCGTGATTGCAAGGATGGCTGCAGGGGTTGCGATGGTGGCATGTGAAGATTCACAATTGTGGACGCTATAGTCTGAACTCCTGGTATCCCTTATAGAACCCAGTAATTTCAACTATCCCTCATGGGTTCGCACCCAAAACAGCCTTGCACACAAGGTAGAAAGAAGGAAGGCATTGAAAGGGTGCAAGGTAGGCATAGTCACTGCTGCCAGTGGCATTATCATGTCCGTGCAAAATAAATAGCAGGGCTGACAAGGCTGATGGATTCCAATCACGGGCAGGGCCATATTCATACCCTAAACAGAAACGCTTCTCATTCCACCAGTAAACCGAGAAAAAAAGCCTGTTCAGATCACGATCACGATCACAATTCCTGCGCTGGTTTTCTTGAACCCTAAAACCTAATGAACAATCCTTCCACCCTATTCGAAAGTCAGCCTCAAATCCTCAAGCGTAATCCCTGAACCGACGTTCCTAAAGCCTCAACCCAAATGTGGGTGTTTCTTTCTGTGACACCTGTTGGCCTTTTTCTGACGACGCAACCCAATGATCCCAAATGTTGAGAAAGCCTAACTCTAAACCCTAAACCCTACCCAAACGAACCCTCAGCCTCAGCGCGCTGCTGAAGCAGTGCAGGTTTGCCAGAGGCCTTCATGCAAAGGGATCCTATGGAAATGGTGTGCTGGGGCCTGTATCATGGAGGATTTCATGGCTAATGGGCTCCAGAGTAAGCAGGAGGATCTCGATGATCATTCTGCTCCGCTTTTGGGTATATTATTACGAAACACACTTATGCCGCGAATATGAGGTTTGAGATTTGGAGTGTGGGTTTTTGCCTGCAGGGTGTAGGGATAAGGCTTCGCGATTTCGGGGCCTGCGATGCTGGGCACAGTCTGCAAACCTAGCGAAGAGAATAGAGTTTTGGACTTTAGTGTTTTAGGGTTTTGGGCTTTTGGGTTTTAGGGTTTTGGGATACAGGGCTTGAGAATTGTGGGTTTAAGGGTATTAAATTCTCACAAAGTCGACCCATTCAACCTTTTGGAAGATTCAACTTCCTCATAAGAACCCAAAGAACGCACTCCGAATCTTGAGCAGTTAGCTTTAAGCATCTCTTGAATTTCTGCATCTACACAACAAGCCAGCTACAACCTCCTGCCTACTTCCAAGACCTGGCCATTCCATAACAATTCTAAAGTCGGTAATGAAGTCAATTTGGGGACTCTTGTCGAGTACCCTCCTAGTACCCTGAATTATGGTTATGTGGCCCCTAGTAGTAAGTACTTAGGCACAAATCGATGGTTGTGTCTATTCTCGTGACAAACCAACATTTGGGGGTGAGATCGGGTGAGGCCGTTATGATTTATTTGCCCAGATTAACATGTTCGGGCGACCTTCCGGTAGGTGAAGTCGACGTGCACCATCTTTCCTCCAGAGCGAGGTTGCTTGAGTACTTTGCTTCCCTACTGGTGGTTAGGAGGGAGGAAGGAATGGGATATAATGACCATCTTTACTTTGGGCTCCCAGAACCTAAACCTATGAGTGTGTGTAGCTGGCTGGCAGTGAAAAAGGTGGTAGAAGGGTCCTCCTTCATCAAGGGTGTACTGCTCAATGTTGTGAGTAGTGCCTCTGTCGAAGAAGGTGGGAATGTTGGCGATTACCTTGCAACTGCGCCGCTGAATCCAGGATCGAAGGATCAAATACGTGCTTGGGTTTACTTGGGACAGCTTCCATCAAGTGCCAAATCCGCGTAAAGAACTGTGGACTCGTTGCGAGAAGTGGCTTGGCTTTGGCTCCCACACTTGCTGGTATGGTTTCAGCTGCCCATTTTCGGGGAGTGTGCAAGTTTGGTGATCTCAGAAGGGTATGCTTTGCTACGAGGAACAACAAGTAGGATCAGCGGTGACACTGCCGTAGCTTTCACTGCATAATGCCTCCATGGCACATACCAGGTGCCCATAAACTTTGGCAGCTCCTTGGCACGTCATCTTACTGGTTGTCAGCAGGGAACCGAGGAAGGAATCTCTAGCGTCATCCCTATAAAAGCCCCTATCTTCCATATAACGGTTTCCACCTTCTTTTGATGAAGGCAATGGGGATCCAGGTTGCTGGCCATACACTGCATTGTCTGGCTAAAGTCTCTAGCGCGTAGGAAACGGGTGCACGGTTTGGAAGCCAGTTTTGCACAATCTCCCATTGAAGGCTGTCATTTGCCTGGTATTCTATCTGTTTCGGCGTCTGCTGAAGCAAGGATGGTTGAAGTAAGGATAAACAGCTCATATGCTCTGCAGGAGCTAGAAGCACACAGAGCTTTACTTGCACATCAGTTTTCACAACCACGCTATACCTCCTGAAGGCAAACAACAGTTCAACATACCAGAGATCACCGCTAGATTTTGACTATCAACTAGAACTTCCAGGACCCTGAATCAGTTTTGCTGAAACAGCATGTAGACTGCTTGAGCAACAATGTAAGTTTTCGTCAAACACCCATCAAAGACTCGACAGAACCTATACTCCAGACTCCAAACTCCTAGTATCCCCCTTAATAAGCCTTATAACACTCCCCTATATAATCCCCGAGATAACTCCCCCCAAGGAGTTTAGATTACAGCTCACATGGGTTTGGGGCTACCCTGCTGAAAATACATTGAAGGCTTCTCCTGAAGCATGCCCAAAACCCAAGCCTTGGGATTTCTCAACGGCATGGGCCCTAGTATAATATAGTATAGTACATTACATGATCATATAGTATACTACAGTATATGTGATAGATTATATCATATTATGAGCATCCCAGGGTTCAGAAGCACCCTCACAACTCCTCACAATCCCATTTAACTCTTCTCAACTGCCAGTAGTCCACATATACCCCCTTTCCCAAAGATGTAACTACACTCCCCCAAACATGGAAACCCATATAGCTTGGCAAGCCCAGGGAATGCTTAAGACTAGGGCAGAATGGCGCGCGGAGACCGCTTAGGGGAGGGGTCCAAATACTGCGCCAAACTGAACTCCGGGAGTTCCAAATACCGTGCAAAGCGGAACTTCGGGCAATCGCAAACCTGTTTCCGACCTCAGTGAACTCTAAAATATTACCCAAGCGAACCCTAGAATAGTTGCCTATCTAAACAAAGAATTCGCCCCACAACACGTGTTTTAGGGTTAAGTTTTAAGGTTTCGAATGGGTTTATAAGGTGTAGGGTTTAGGGGGTGTCGCCCAGGCGAGCTCTAGCGGCGGGACGGGGCCTGACAGAGCCTATGCTGGCTGGGGCAATCAGGGGCTTCAAATCCCTGCGCGGCGCCGCTAAGGCCTGGGAATGCTTACGGGGGCGAGTCCGAGCTCTTCCGAGCTCTTCCGAACAGTTCGCAAAAACTCGGAAGAGCTTCGGAAGAGCTCGGACTGGGCCCCGTAAGCATTCCCAGGCCTTCGCGGCGGGACGGGGCCTGACAGAGCCTACGTTCTGGCTGGGGCAATTGGCCAGGGGCTTCAAATCCCTGCGCGGCGCCGCTAAGGCCTGGGAATGCTGACGGGGCCAGTCCGAGCTCTTCCGAACTCTTCCGAATGTCTGGAACCGGACATGATAGGAACTAGACTCTGCAACGGCTGTAAGCGTCGTCTAGTCTACAACATTCTGATATTCTACAGCTAACGATTGCCTACCGGTCATAATACTGGAGGTGCCCCTGAGCAGCTGAAGATCAGGCCAAGGAGAAACAAAAACTTCAGCTCATGATTGGTCTCTTCACAAATATTCCCACTATTCCCTACTTTTCCTAGGGTCTGTGCCCCCCCTCTGTAGTCTTAAGCATTCCCAGGGGTACCCCATTTTATAACAGTCTCAAAACCCGCCAAACTAGTCTTAAGCATTCCCTGGGCTTGCCAACATATAGCCCCCTTTTAGAAGGACTGTAGTCTTTAAAGGGCCCTTTTTGGGGTTTCCATGTTAGTTTCCGGGAGTGTATTTCCCACCTTTTGGACCAAGCATCTATCGGGGAGGCCATAGCAGTGAGGGGGGCTGCAGCGACGCGCGTGGCTGTGTCGCGTCGGCCATTGGCCCAGTCCTGCATGGAGATCAGTGGGGAATGGAGGCATGGATCCCAATAGTATAGTATTATATGTTACAATATACTATAGTATATCATACCATAAAATGACGCGCTATCTTATACGATAATATACTTTAGAGAAGTCGTGCGGTGTAGGCCCTAGGGCATCAAAATGATGAGGCGCCATGCAAGCTCGCACATGAATACGTGCCAACCCCTTTGTTTGCTCCCCCGCTCCCCATGAGTCTTTTAGACCCTTAGATCCAGAACCTTTAACCCTGACACCGTCACCTAGCCTCCAAGCCCCTAAACCCGGAAACCCCGAAAACCCCTAAACTACGACGCGATCCGTTTGCCTCAAGGAGGCGCATCATGTCAGCCACCTCCCCTGGGGAGTTCTTGGTGATGGTGCCCTCGGTGAAGAAAGCGCCTCTGGTTAGGGTTTAGGGTTCTGGCTTTCGATCCCGAAAAGGGACTCCTGTGATCCCCTTGTAGCTCCTGTCGTATGTTCAATTGTCAGACAGATGTTCAAGTCCATGCGTGCATTTAGGACACGAGTACAGCCGGCACAATGCTTGTTGGGATGTCGGAAGGATTGTGTACAATAGGCCTCAGCATTTCGACTCTCAAACTTCACCTTCAACATCTGCAGTGAGATGACCGTATCTTCAGGTAAGGCATCCTTGTAAATCTCCCATGTCTGTTGCCAGCATCTGCTGTGTAAGTCTTCAACACCCAGCGCTGTCCCGCCTCCCATGTGCTTGACCTGCGGCTCCCGGTCCAAGTAGAAAGCACCACCCTCGATCTTGCTTGCATCTGCCACACACAGCCTGGCAGGGTGGCAGAACAAGGGCCCCTGCTTTTGCATTTGGTAGAGGCAGCAAGTATGAGCCAGTACGCATATGCTTCAGCTCCAGCACAACGCTTTCGTCAACAGGATATGAAGACTGTATGCAGTGACTCCTGCATTTACCTAAAGTCTTTATGCCGATCGTTGGTTATCAATCCCATGTAGCAATAACTATCTCAATCTTCATGGACTGCGTCTTCTGCAGCACAAAAACCGGCCGAAACGCTGAGCTGAGCTATATCTCCGAGCCTCTAGGAGGTGAGCCTGAAGACTCATAAATTCGCATCCTGGTGGGGACCCATGCTCTGAAAAAAGATCTGCGCCCCAAGTGTGACGCTTGGCCGATTCAGCCGAGCCGCCAGACGATGCCTTCAGCACCCTGCCACGTGTTTCGCATCGGCTCCAAATAGGATTTGCCTGGGAGACTCATCAAATTGTTGACCCAAGAAATCCACAAGCTACGGGGGCTGCGTGGTCTTCACTGGAGATTAGTGTTTTTGCCTGGCTCCTAACACTACGATTGCCACCACCAGCACCACCACTACTATCCTTGGGATCTTAGGTCAGACTTGCTGCTCGAGCCATACGCTTCCTCCACAGCCGGGGTAGAAGTCCAGCCCGGGTGGCAGCTGACCACTTTCACCTGACGCTGCAGTCATCTTTTGAGTAAGGCTTGCGGGGTTGCGGTATCAGGATTCCAGAGAGAAGGGTGTAGAGGCTAAGGTTTAGGGCTAAGAGTCAGAGCAAGGACTTGCAGCATCGTCGAGAAGGTGAGATACAATTTGGAGACTGGGACATTTGCAACATGCTCCCTATAAACTAAGGATGTCACACATGTTGTGTACGTGAAGTTATGTGAAGTACAGCGACAAAAACCAGCGCAGCCGGCAATGCTTGTGCTATACTACTAGCAGCAACGAGCATGGTCACCAGCAAGACAGATGGAGACAACTGCGGAGGTCATCTTGGACAAGCAGCAAGAACACACAAGATCCTGGCAGCAAAACTCTAGACAAGAGGAGAATAGACCTTTGAACGTCACCTCGGGCCCAAAAGCAATCCAATCCAAGGCATGCTTGATACAACCTCAGGAACCTGCATCAAAAAATACCATCCTAAGACCCCATGAAGCACCTCATCGTCCTGAGAGGTCTCTGACAAGCATACACTGCGTCGACGATGCTACGAATTCAGGTTGCAGAACATGTCGATCCCATCCCGTGAGGTCTGTGCAACTCCTACTTCATCTGCTAAAGTTTATCTGACAAAATGAAAGCCTCAAATTCGTAATTCCTTACCCGACAAACCTCAACCTCATCAGGCCGTAAGACATTACAGCTCTAAACCTTAAACCATAAGCAAACCATAAGCACCAAACCAGGAACCCTAAAACCCTCAGCCCCCTCAGCCCACGGAATCTAATCCCAGCATCCTTGGGATGGAGCTCGGACCATTGCTCGCACAGCAGGACCTGCCCTCGCTTTGCGTAGGCATAGGCAAACCTTGGCTCACACTTTGGGTGCTCCATGACTACATGGTAGGTTGTTACAATGATGGTCCCTTTTTGGGGTCTCTGGTATAAGACGGCCCCCGATGTGTAGGGCACCCAAAAGAGGACAATAATGTTGACAGCAATCAATCTCAATTTGAGTCGTTGTGGTCTTGGTGGTGGTGGTGGTGGTGGTGCAGGAAAGCATGAGTTCCAATCAAAGTCATTGCGGCCTCTGAGCGCTGTGCTGCTAGACGTCTGAATTAATCCTCTGCCCCTAATTATGAGCGACCCCACCGCTCCATATGATCACCGCCCAATATGTAATGGTACTACTTTAAATGTATGTTTATTCAGGGTTGGAGGGTCCATTATTAGGGAAAGGGAAGAGTTGAGTTCAAGCTTGAAAGGTGGAGGATCTTGGAGCTCCAGAGCAGAGCGCTGGTGCTTCAGCATGCGAAAAATTAAGCATCCGATTTCGGGAATGCCATGAGTCTCTGGTCAGACGACATGGTCCGCTTTCAGCCCAGCAGCTGTCCGTCGTACTTCTCAGTGCCTGCAGAGATTAAGGAATCATTCGAAGCCGGGGGTGCGTCCTACAATGTTCAGTACCAAGTTCCTTCTCCTGGTTACCACTAGGTTCACACCAACCTGCTTGGACATGCTGCAAGAACAACTGCCATGTGAGACTAAATCTCTGATGCTTCCAGAGTGGCATGGTGCAAAATGAAGGTGAGCGCAGAACGAAGCTGAAATCATCACAACAGGAAGTTACCAAGAATCAGAAACAAAAATCAGTGAAACGTCACTGCTGGCATGAGCCGTGCTTCCCTTGAGTAACCTGTCAAATCACAAAGCTCCATAAACATTACATGACAGCATGCCTTACTCAACCTGCCCCTTGACTTGGCTAAATTGGGAAAGGACGCACACTCCCACGACTTCGCAGGCATGCAATCGACCCTGCCTGTTGATGTGGCATTCTCCCACTTCGGAAACGCAGTGTTGTACATACCGCCACTGCTGACCACAATCTCGGTAGGCGCAGACATGACTTCATTTCAGGTTTGGACATTTTGTCGGGGTGCGGCTCCTACGTTGACTCTTTTGCAGTAAAGGGTCCTTCCTAATCGCGTGGTGAAGGAAGGTTACACCGTTTAGGCAAAGTCCGAGGATTAGTTGCGATAGCCTTGGGTACAGTCCCAACCCCACTGGAGCTGTTGCTACAGTGAATATACTTTCTGACTAACATGATTATAGCTACTACTGTTCTAACTGCTGACCTTTCAAGACAGAAGGTTCACGAACACCTAGGATGGGAGTTCGTCACTTCACTGCATGTCAAACCATCCTGGCTGCGGCTTGTCTCTAAATTTTCGCAAGCCGCTCACAGTAAGTGGCCTGCACCTCAAACCCATGCCTGGCAAAACATTAAGCTGCAACTCTCCTTTGTGGCGTTTTGCCAATCATAACACTATCCTGACAGCGACTGCTGTTGGTGTACAGGATATCTGCTGCGCCGCTACTCATGTTCTGCAAAGGTTAACCTGTATCCGCACGGATCACTGATCACCTCCCCCGACCATAAGACGCACTGCCCTCTGTGCTGGATTTACAAATCCATCTATGATGCGGAGGGAGGACCTCCAAAGCCTAAACCCCTGCACCCCCACACTCTAAAGACCCAAGACCCCCTCAAACCCACAGAATTCGGAGAAAAAAAGATGATCCCAAACCCTGAAACCTAAAACCCTAAACCCTAATCCTTAAACCCTAATCCTTAAACCCTAATCCTTAAACCCTAATCCCTAAACCCTGGGGCCCCAGGCCAGACGGGAGCCCTCTGTTGCTTCCAGGACCGGCATCGCCAGGCTGCCCAAGAGGTAGGTGCCTGATGTTGGTAACCGGAGACTACTATTTAAGGCTTAGGGCTTCTATACCGGAAATTTAGAAGAATGGAAAAAAGAAAAGAATAACTGGAGACTACTATTTTAGGTTTCGGGCTTCTATGGGGATATATAGAGGAATGGAAAAAAGAAAAGAATAACTGGAGACTACTATTTTAGGTTTAGGGCTTCTATGGGGATATATAGAGGAATGGAAAAGAGAATGGAATCGACTATTCCACTGCAGAATCAAATGGAAAAACCACGTGAAATGGAAAATCAAATAGAAACTCGGGAACTAAGTTCCGATGAAAAAGGTCTACCCCAATTCCGTCAACTCTGCTGGACCCTAAACCCTAAACCCTAAAACCCTAATCGCTGGCTTCAAACCCTCTAGCCTTCAACTCACAGAGCTTTTCCTGATCCACTCCCCGGCCTTTGGTTAGCCAGGAATGAAGGAGAGGCTCCTTATAGTAGTCCCTTTATCACCCATTTAGGTTGTAGGGTTTAGGGATAGCATTCCCTATATAACCACCCATTTAGGGTTTGGAGTTTAGGGTTTAGGGATAGCATATATATATATATGTATATATCCACCCATTCAGGGTTTAGGGTTTAGGGATAGTCGTCCCTTTGTACCCATTCTAGTACTTTAAATGTTCTTTTTCATTCCTTCATTCCCAGCTAACCAAAGGCTAGCTCCTTCCCTCTAAACCCTAAACCTTGCAAACCCTATAAACCCCATAAACCCTATAAACACTATAAACACTATAAACCCTCTAAACCCTCTAAACCCTAAACAGCCACTCTTCAGGCTCGGACCGAAAAGGAGATGCGAGGCAAAGGTGAGCTCAATGCCCTCGGAGGTCATCGTCTTCTCGTTGGCCAAGGCACCTGCGCGGCTGAAGGCCACTATAACCCCCAATTTTAGTAGTTTCCATATTCTTTTCCATTACCCCTACATAACCCCTATATAACCCACGATGTACCCTATTATAATACAGTAGCTTCCATTTTCTTTTCCACTATCCCAATATTACCATCCTGATCACCCTAATATTACCCCCAATATTACCACTACATTCTGTCTTCAACTGAGGCTGCCCCTGAAGCTTCGCCTCCGGCTAAAATGCCTTTGAGCTATGGTGCCATTGATGTTGCTGTCGTTTCTGCGTATTCTACTTTGCCCATGCATACTGGAATCACAATGAAGATCGATGCGACTCGTGCTAAGTAATGCTGTTGCCTCAGGGACTCCTTGTAGGTTTAGTCTCACTGCCTCCACACTACCAGCAACAGCAAGATTATCAACAGCAGCTCAGCCACACCGCCACTTGTAGCACACCTTTACCAGCAGTGGCAATGACTGAGTGGCAACAACCACAACGAAGACGACTGATAAGATACTAACGCGCCTTTCACCACGAGACACAAGGAAGCTATCCTGAAGATTGCAATGGTGAACAACAATTGCGATTTTGTGTGTAATGACTCCATATTGAGCGCCAATGTTTCTCAAGGCGTGTCCGCAAAAGCGGTCCTTGCCCCTCCACCATCCCTTGATCCACATGGTTTCCATCACAAAGCTGCCAGCGTCCACGACAGTCAGCGGCTCAGAGCCCAAAAAATACCCCTCGTTTTATGGCGCTTTCATGTGACACGGGCCCGCGTCCACATGCCTGCGTTGCATACCAAGCCGTCCAGCCGAACATGTGTCGGGTTGCCACCTTGGCGAAAGCAAGGTATGAGCTTGGAACCTCATACGTGATCCCTTTTGACCTCAAAACCTCCTCCTGTCAGCCATCAGGGGCTCCTTGAACATCCGACTTCAAGCGCAGTGCGGCATGCACAAAGCTTGATAGCCATACTAGCCGTCTTCACCACGGGTGAAGACCGTATAGAAGCATCTACTTGCCATGACTGCAATCGCAACCAGTCATAGCGAACCACTGAAGCATCACTTCAATTGCTCTTGTAAATGTCGCACTTGGATCCGAACTCTGGGCAACGCTGTGCTCGCAGAAGTCATCCCAAACCCGGCGAACATCGGTCTGAAAACAAGCTATCTGGCTTGAGTTAAAGGTTGGGCTTTCCGATGCTTTCAAGCAAGCCGCTAAGTGGGAGCTAATGGAGCTGCGAATCTTTGCAATGACTCTTCAAAGTACTTTGACATCCACATCCGTGGCCACGTGCTGCCCCTACCTTTTGCGTTGGTTGGGAAAGGGCAAGAGACCGTAAGAAAGTTGCTTCGCTACGAACCAACATGTGCGGGCCGCCTGCTAGTACACCAACAAACTCATGACCACAATACCCTGTCAATGCATGGATACTGCCTGCAACAACTCAGCATGTCTAGGCCACACAAATTCGAACTATAAGATCATGACTGCAAATCATTTCATCAGGATCTCAAACACGTCAGGCATGTCCAAGCAAAAGCTCGCGACCAAGAGACCACACCGTGCCAGCAGCCGAGCAGAGAAGAAGAGAAGAAGAGAGAGCGAGGGGGAGAGAGAGAGAGAGAGAGATAGAAAACAAAAACAAAAAAATAGTACATGCGACATGCATGGAAAGCACTTGACCCCAATTGAAAGCCCCTTAACCCCTTCAACACCAGAACCTTGAGCCTTCAACCCTGAACCCTCCCTTGTCCCCTAACCCGGCCTCGAGGCTACAGTCCGCCAGCAGAACATGGACACGGCCTTCCGCGTTACCTGGTGGTGAGATCACAGGTCCTTTTTGATGCGTTCTGAGGATGATGGAGGTGTGCACAAGTGAGATGAATCGGATTTAGGGCTTTCAACAAAATGTCCACACACACACACACAAAAATGTCTGGCCCCTTTCTTGGGGATTCCTCCTGCATCTGCGGTGGCAAGATACAATGTGGCCCGGCTGCCTAGAAAAAACATATGCGGAATCTCTGAACCTCCAAAAGCTAGACCCTCCCATCCATCAAAGGACTATAGATGAAGTTGGTGCCTCCGGAATTGCTATATGCAAAACATATGTTTTCCTGAGACTTCATGGTGCAACAGAAACCGAAGCACCCCGACGCTCAGTCAAACTCTCACATGCGCGCCACCTTCATGCCAGCGAGCAGCCTGAATGGTTAGCAAAGGATGTCTAGCAACATAAGACAAACATTCATACAAGCGTTAGAAAGGCATTGATGCGATAATATTCCCGCTTCCACCGTCTACATGCACGGAAGCGCCTCCAGCTTTTGCAACAATGTCCGCACGGGCAGATTCTGCCCTCTCCTTGCTCCGGCACAGCATGTAGACCGTTGCACCTGATCAGGGCAGGCGGTTGGGTTTAGAGTTGCAGTCGTATGATATAGGGGCCTAAATAATTATCAATATTATTATGAGGTCCATTTGAGGTACCACATACTATAATTAAACAAGGCATATGGAACCATGATATTGGTAATTATTTAGGCCCCTACATTACGTCTGGGACCTGAGGTTTGGATTTCTTGGCTTCTACTTGGTCAGGTTTGGGTCTTGGAGATGACAAATCAGGACTGGTGTGAAGAACATGAAGAAGAACTTGAAAAGGAATGTTCAGAGAACTCCTAACAGGAAGTAATCTGAAAGGAATTATAAAAGGAATACAATGGTAAAAGGCGTTAGAAGATAGCTTCACAAAGATCATAAAGAGATTTCTACACACATTATATGGGTTATATGCAGGTTGTATAAGGAGCGAGAAAGAACCAACCCCCACTTTTGCTATGGTGCGGTGAGAGCTGGGACTAGGAGGGATACCATTCGGTGACAGGAGGGGAAGAACGCACACCGAACAACCATGTATGGGTCCAGTTATTGCTTCTGGGTTTGAGGTTTATGACCCAGGGCAAAGCACACAGGCAGTAGCAACAAGGCAAACTGATCACACCAGCTGTTCGGATCAAGTGGTACTTGCAAATTCCTTCCACGTAACGGCAGTAGTTTTTGACAATCATCGTGACTAGGATGTAGTGTTGACAGCAATTTATGCCCAAAGAAAAGGTGCCTCAAATTTTCAAGGGGCATGTGCAAGTCTCACGGTTCAAACGTTTCCTGTCCGGGCAAGGACACGGCCCTTTTGAGGTCAGCCGCCCTTTCATTATACCTCGTCTTTTGCAAAGTGCTTCCAACACTGTGACATGTTGAGAATCATTTCCACGCGCCTTTGGTTGCCAAGAACTGCGCGATCTCTTTGCCGATGCCGGAGTTGGACCCCGTCCTGAGCAAGGCTTGAGAGCAAGGGACCTGGTACTGGCCAGAGCCGCAGGAGCAATTGGGAAAAGGAATTGTTCTTCCTACAGCTACCCACAAGCATATCAAGGCATCGCCACTACTGATGCAGGAAATTACGTCAAATCTTTTCTTCGCAGCCAGAAGTCACAATGTACACGCGGCCAGCAAGATCAAGTGCAGTCTCCAGCAAGTCCTGGCAGGGCAATCATCAATCTGAGAAATCCGTGGCAAGATGCTTTGATGGTACAACCTTCATGGCACCCGTCAGATCACTTGAATTGCACCAGCCTTCATTGCCTGCAAACCTTGTTCCTTATATCCAGACCAAGTCTGGCGAGACCAGGGAGAAGCAAAATCTTTGAGGTAGTAGGTTACAGGACATGAAGCAGAAGGATGTGCAACAAGACCCCAAGCCCTCAACGCTAAGCCCTAAACTCTGAGCCTTCTTTAGGACCGGCTACAGGAGCAGAGGGGTCAAACGGGTCATGCAGGGCCTGTGGGAGCCACACATGGCAGTATCGCTAAACTCCCTGGATGGTAACTCCAGCTTCCATAGACCTCAACCCCTAAACATAGTTTCCATGTTCTTTTCCATTATCCCACTATAACCCCAACAAAACCCCAATGTGATCCCAATGTAGCCTGTTTGAAAGCCCAACTGCGGTCCGGCTTGGCGTAGCTCGCCTGATGCGTTTCCCAGCCGCTGCTGGTGAAGTGGCGCTTGCCATAGAGGTAGAACTGGCGGGGTTGGCAAAAGCCATCAAAGACATCCCATAAAACCAGCTGAGTTGTTGCTTGACTAAGTTCAACGAGACGACTGTTCGATCTGCAATGGGACAACTTCTTGAGCTTTGGGGCTGATGTATCAACAAAACACTTCGAGGTAAATAGTCCTCCTGTAAGTACGCTTCCAGGCGGCCTTTTTAGATGTTGTTGTTTCCTTTGCGCGAGCTTCATGTGAGCGTCAAAAGGGATGCCCACAATCCGTAAGCGTCCTTGCTGTAGGCATACCGGTACCAATGCGCTTTGCCCTCGCCTCCCCAGCTTGACATCACCGGATATTACAATGTTAAACGCCTGCACTTCCCTTAGTGTGAAAGACTAAGGCCAAAACCAACATTGATGAATACTGTCGTGATGTCAACATCAAAAGAGGCACCTAGCATATCTCTACACCTCATCCTAACGCGTATGGTAGTTTCCATAATCAGGGGGACTCCAATATGGACCCCAAAATGCTATAACCCTAATCATGGGGACCCCCAACAAGTCAACAAGGTACCCCTAATTTTGCAAAACTCTCATCCCTAAGCCCTATAAATCCTTGCATACCCTCATACATATATCCCTAAACCCTAAACCCTAAACCCTGACCCTGACCCTAAACCCCTAAACCATATATGAGCTGCTGTCTAAACTCCTAGTATCCCCCTTAATAACCCCTATAGTAGTCCCCTATATAATCCCTTATATAACCCCCCTTTAAGGAGTCTAGATTGCAGCTCATATGTCCCCTATAAACCCCTAAACCCTAAACCCTAAACCCTGACCCTAAACCCCTAAACCATATATATCCCCTATAAACCCCTTCAAAAGGGTACCCCTAAGTAGCCAAGGCCTGAGTCGAAGTTGCGATCTGCCAGAAGCCCATGGCTTTCAGGGTTGGGGCACTTTGGCTTCAACTTACGATGCAGCTTAAGCCAACGGCTCAGGGGAGGTTAAGGGTTTAGGGTTTAGGGTTTAGGGTTTAGGGCTTAGGGTTTAGGGTTTAGGGTTTAGGGTTTAGGGTTTAGGGTAGGGTTAGGTTGGGCCTGTAACAGTCTGTATTAGGGGTCTTACTAAGGGCTTTACAAAAGAATATTAATCAATTTTATCCAACTGTTGCAGAGTGGGGGCAGCACCCAAGGTTCAAGGTCTGGGGGCTGAAGGTAGGTAGCGGCACTGAACCATTTGAGCAACTAGACCAGCAGCGGGGAGCCCTTAAAGCACCCAACAGGATTTGGTGCTTACTTGCCTAATTACTGAAGAACCAAAGTAAAGCTTGAGATTCTCTACAGCTACAATTACACAAAGCAACTGCCCATACTGCTAGCTCCTTCAAAAAGGGTTCAAAACCGATAACATCGCAAGAAATCCAGCGGCATTCCCCGAAAGTGCCTCCAAATCCCATCAACTCTATCATAGCCATACACGACCTCCACAAGAACCAAGAGTCATGATTCCAGGCTTTAGAGCCCTAAATTAAAGCAGTACTTCGCTCAAGCTCCTTCAACCTAAGCCCTCACACTGCAACAAAGCATTCCCAATGCACGGGCACCGCCCCCTCGCCTCAAAGTCTGCACCAACTTGATCCGGCGTTCCCTGGCAGAATGAGGCCATCTTTTGGCCATGCAGGCTGCCCGAAGCCCTTCCATCTGGTAGAAGTACTGCATCAGAATCACAACTGCTGCTCCCTTGCGTGCTATGGGGCTTCAGGGTGGTGTGGGACTGAAGTTCTAGGGATGGCGTGTAAACCCGATACCATGCATGAGGCCCAGCAACCAACGTCCGCGTCCGTCTAAGCCCTTATGAACCCCATGCATCCATTCACGAGTCGGATCCTTACAGTTTGGAATCACGGAGGCACATAGTTTGAGATACTGCCATTTGGAGCTCAGAGCGTTGGCAAATGGACTGAAAAGATGTCCACAGGTCCAGAGCTTGTGCAGCAAACAAAACGATGCGAAAAAAGAATAAAAAAACGCATTGGGGCACTTAGACACTATAAAATCCTACAAATCAAATTTTAAGGGCCCTTGGTTAGGACCCAGGAAACAGATAGGGCCCCACATGAGAGACTCATGGTTAGGACCTTTGAATTGCCGCTTCAACGGCTTCGGCTTCCAGCGTGGGGGTCTAGATTGCCCAAAGCAAGCAATGAACGCCTGCTGTGAAGGTCCACCTCATTGTCAACTGCTTCGGGTCCATGCCCCACTACTTGAAGGTTATTGGGTAGCTACTGGTGTGGTTCCAAGTGCCCTGAATTAAAATGCAATAATCCCAAGTATAACCCATCTTACTGTTTTTGCCCATGAACCTCCAAGCAATCTTTCATTTGTTGCGGCAGTTGGGGTCATCGCCAGGCACTAGCTACTTCATAGATGCAGAAAACCAGGTTGATGACTCCAAGACCAAGATCTCATGTACTCCCCCCCCTCTATACTACCCCCGGCCCCTAGGACCCCCCCTAATTAAGGCTAGGCCTAATTAAGGCTTTTCAAGGGGGAACCTAGGGGGTTAGCAAGGAAACCCCTGAAGATCCCTCAGTACTAAACCTAAGCCAGCCCAAGCCATGAACCTCAATGCCCCAGCCCAAAACCCTAAACTCCAGACCTGAAACCCCAAACCCTGCTTCTTCCTTGGCCCCCAAACCCCCTAATTAAACCCTAAACCCTAAACCCAAAGAAAGGAACCCTAGCACTGGGGCTTCGGGCCTTGTTGGCCCGGATGCGATGAATGTAGTCCCGCGGCTCCATAGCAGGAAGTAAGGCCCACTGCAAAGCTATTTGGGGGTTTCTCAAAATTAGGGTTACCTTTTTGGGGTCCCTATAATGAGAACTATAGTATTTTGGGGTCTATATTGGGGTCCCCCTATTTTGGGAAACTACCATTTGGAGGTTTCCAAAAATCAGGGTACCAGTTTTGACGGATCCCAATTAAAACGATTCGCGTATCTTGGGGTCCTATATTGGGGTCGCCCCATTTATGGAAACGGCCATTACAAACGGCCATGCAGGAATACAATGGCCGAACTAATTCCCATTAGTGGACAAAAACTGGAAAATGACAAGCAAACTGGGCTAGTGTAGGAGCTTATGATATACGGACTGGACGTATATAACTAAACACCAGCGTTGGCTAGAATTGTAAATAGATATTACCTGCTTCTAACTTAGGTTTTCCCTTCTAGCTGCAAGGTGTATCTAGGGGGCATGAAAAGTCATGGGACACCTCTAGGTTTCAGAAGCTAAAGACATGAACCAGCAGTATGGAATGCTGAGGAACAAGCATGGATGGTTCTTTGGCCCTGTAGCTTGCCCTTGCATGTCCAGATTGTAACGTCACTGCACGATTTCTTTGCAAAAGGATGTCGCCGATGCTCATTGCGATGCACGTGGCAGTATATGAGAGAAAGAGTGTCACCAATTTTCGCAACTGGCCCTGCAGCTCCCCTGTTCAAGCTGAGCTAGTTGTACCCGAAACAAGTGAAAACGCGCGATACACGCACAATGCACGGTTCTCAAACATGCCTAGGATATTGAAGCCATGGACAAAGTTTGCAAGAAGACATTCGTACGACAAAAACTAGAAGAAAGGACCTTCAACGGTCCATAGAAGCTTGACTCCCCCAGCATTGAGAGCCCCCTGCATATCCCCAAAATACAAGAACGTGATCATTGAAAAGCTGCCAGCAGCAAACTTGCGCCTGAGCCTAACCAACGCGCCTCGAGAAAATGCCCAAAAACAATTTGCCATATGAGCTATAGTCTA